CCCTCTAGGACCTCTAGACAGTGCCACCCAAAACTCACAAGGGTCTCTTACTGACCGCTCAGTCTTTAAGTCTTCTAAGGCCTCAGACACATCTACGAACAAAGTATCGTTTAGTCCAGATGCGTCCGCGGGGTGACAACTGAGTCAGTAGCCTCGGCCAACTCCTAAAGTGGTGAGGGAACACTATCCACTTTAGCATGAGTAGAAGCAGCTACAACTTCTACTGCCCAGATGTGTTTCCCTGGGATGTGCTCGTAGAAGCACCACCTGGGCGGATGATCCTCCAAAACCACCTTTGGGCGGGATCTTTTGAGGAACCTTCAGATTCTTGCATCTAAACTGCTGATGGCCATACTCACCGCACTGGACCTCTTGAATACTGGTCCCTCCACACATCTTGATCCAAGCCAGCCCTCAGTCAAGCATGAGTCTTGTTTGAGTTATGAGCCTGCCCCTGGATCTTTTGCTGGCCGCCCCTGCCACGACCAGCTGCCTCCTTTCCTTTGGCTGTTGTGGAGAGGTTTCCCCCCTCTAGATTCTCCTCGCTGCCTAGTTTCCCCCCTCTAGACTCTCCTCGCTGCCTAACTCTGTATCTTCCACAAGATCGGAAAGATCATCGATCTCAGTCTGACTCCCATCGGAATCAACCATCATCAATCAACTGTCGTTCTTGTTCTACTCTTGCAGGATCTCCTTGTTCCTACCGTCCATCTCAGGTTGCTGGGCCCCTCCTAGCTTAGCCTCTGAGTCTAAGGCCATCTTGTCGAAGGAGTCAAGAGTGTCATAATCGATGCTGGCCTCACTGACCAGGTGTCGAGTGCCTCATCCTTCTTGTCTCCAGAGAAGGTCTGAGGTGGTTTCAAAAGGGTCTTGGGATACCAAGGCTGTTGTGGTCCCATTTGTGGGACTGGCTGCTGCCCCGTGGCTGCGGCAGCTGGACCTGAGGACGAAGAAGCAGTCTGTGCTGCTGCTGCTGACGTACCACTTGGACGGATGCCAAATTGAGGGACAAAGGGGCCTGTCATCGCCGGTTACGGGGGCGGCGATGGAAAAGCTGCTGATGGCCCGATGCTAGGCCCGCCTATCGTGGAAGGGACTGGCCGTCCCTTCCCGTGCATGGCACTCAGTATCTGGTCAAGGGTGTCCTGGATATCATCCAATTTGCTGTCCATGTACGTGTACGTGCTCAGCAATACCCGCCTTGAGATTTACCGGTGTTGTCAAGGGTCAATTCATCTAACCCCTCCAGTGCAGCTTTATCTGCCCTTCTGTTCTGTAACCTGGCTTTTCTATTTCTAATTTCTGTCTCTTTCGGTAGCATCTTTGAGATCCTTCTCTAACCGCAAACGGATCAACTCTACTTGCTGGAGTTCTATCTCCTCTCTAGTGGGTAGAGGTGGCTGGCTGTACTGCGAGCCCGCCATCTGACGTGAAGAAGTGCCTACACCCATCCGGTTGGATATAGCCTGTGAACTAGACTGCGTCCCTGATGTCTGCTGACCCTGAGATGTAGCAGCAGATGTGGCCATGGCTCCAGCAGTGGCTGCTGCCGCTGCCAGTACCTGCTCCGCCGCCGCTGCTGCTTCCCTAGCCCTTTGCAAACGTTCAGACACAGCCTCTCGTCGTACAGCTCTCTCGCCCCCGGATGGTAAGGCCTGGTGCACGACGGGTATCCTAAGTGAAGGGATCCATGCTGCAGACACCCAGTCCCAGTCCCAGGGTCCCGACAACTCCCAAGTCCCACGGTCATCCTGTAGGGTAGGCCGTAGGGTCTAGAGACAGAAGTGTCGCAGGTCGGTAGGTGTCAGTACCGAAGCGTTGTAGGCCGTTAGGAGTCCGTCCAGAAGCGTCCAGTCCAGTTCGACAGTCCCAAGTCCAATTTAGCAGCATGTCCCAGATAAAGTCCGGAAGCTACCGGAGCGACAAAATGTTTGCAGCAGACAGGCCACGGCCGACCGGTACGGGTCTGAAGCAGGCCAAGCAAGCCAAGTCCTATATTGAGCTGCTACAGTGCAGCGGTTCATCACTTGTTCAGTTGCGAGATCCGGAAGCGATGCTGCTGCTTGTGCGTTAAGGCAACTTGGGCACTGTGCGCCTGAGGAAGGAGAGGGCACCTGTGAAATACTCCATCGCTAGGCTAGACGTAGAGTATGAGGACAGTGGCCATAGCCGCCAAGGTGTAAGCTGCCTGAGTGGGTGTATCCAGAGTAACGATCCAGGGTAGAGAGAGAGAGACGAAAGAGAGTGAGGCAGAGTGAGTCAAGAAGAGAGAGAGAGAAGAGGGGAGAAGCCATAGCCGCTATCTGGTGGAAATCCGTTGCGTGTGTGTGCGGCGGAGCCGCTGGAGACGAACATTCTTGTATATTGATAATAATATTGGAGACGACATCTTCAAGTGTTGATTGTATCTCGATTTGGCTTGTCACATGTGAAATCTCATGTGAATGTTCATTGATGTATCCGAGGTTGAACTTGACGAGTACTTGGCTCATTTCATAAAAGATTCCTGCCATGTTACCCTTCTCCCTTCAGAAATTTCCTCCCAACTACCTAGTCCGCTCATCAGCTAAGCAGATCACTGTCTGCACTATCGCCCTCACTGGGGCCTACCACAGCATGTATCTGACCGAGTCGAAAAATAAATAAAAATAAATACTTATTAGGCAAGTCACCCAGGCTGCTGATCAAGTGGTGTCAACAGAATATACACAGACCGTGCAAATGATCTAATCTTACTTCGATTACTTCTCAAAGAGCAGCACCAAACAGAGCTGGAGATGGTAGACTACTACAGTTCTACTCTAATGCTGTCCGTCAGGTGTTAGCAGTCAATCACACCTCAGCTGACCAAAAATGAAAACAAATCACTTGTGCAGATGTATGCAGAAATGGAAATAATATTTTGAGTACCAATTGGGACTTTCTCTCCCCTGTGTCGGACGTTCCTGATTGGATCATCGAGCAGCGGTGTCTATGGTGTGCACAACGGCCCACCCGTGTGCCCAGGTAATTTGAAGCAAGTCAGCCTGTACTATTTTTATCCTCGCATACGGTGGGAGTCGGATTCCCCGCCGGAGTGTCTTTAACGATGATCCGGTGCACGTTGATCCCCCTCAGGCTGACTCACCACACTTCCCTCTATAGCACAGCAAGAGCTCAAAGGACCATGCAGCAAAGCCTGCGTGCTCTAGTCCCGTGGGTTGGCATGGTGACCGTGACCCGTGCTTCGTCCAGGGCCCTTCAGAGGCACCACCCTCTCCTGCCAGATGCGCCACCAGGACGAATGTCGACTTTCAAGGTAGAGCGCTCACGGCCCCTGAACCAGAAGAGGACACTCAAGTCGAAACTCTCTTCCTCACAGTAAGAAGAGATTGAGATGGGAAGATAAGGTAAGGGAACAACGTACCTGAAGATTGCTGCCCCGAACCACATATTTCTCACCATTTGAGCCGACGTGCATTTTGATGACCGGTCATGGCCTGGGTACGACACACAATGCAATGGAGTGCCACCGCAGCCAAAATGCCATGTCAACATACTCTCATCTTTCCACATACATCCGCTGTTGCCACAGCTCCCACGCTGTTGCCACAGCCTTCCGGCCACACTCCCCTCTACCCGGGAGTGCCCAAACAAACCAGCGCCAATGTATCCTTACTGCGGAGAAGCTTTGTCAGCGCACCAAGTAACAAAGACTCCAGCACCAGTAACCGCGATCTCTTTCCTTCCTTGGTGCAGTTCTCCACCCAAGTTGCACTGCGCACAATCCACCAGCAGGGGTTCCCCAACTTTGCAATTGGACAACTGATTCACTGTGTCACTTTAGCAGCTATAAATTGTACTGTTGACTTGTTGTTGCCTGTTTCGGACCCGTAAAGGTCGTTTGCGGCCTGTCGGCTGCATGTTGCTGTTCCAGAAGTCTCTGGATTTTCTTGGGATGCTGGTTCAAAATTGGACTTTGGGATTGGACCTTTTTCTGTCGGGTGCCGGTAGTGTTCTACCTACGAATGACGCTTTGGTTCCGTACCCAACAGGACTACAATGCTTCAACCTACAGACCCTGGGGGACCCCTAAGACCCTGGGGCTGGGACCTACCAGAACCTAGTGGGACGGGGACCATGTGGGACTGGGCCCGCTTGAACTTGGGGTACAGGGACTCGGGACATGCTCACAGCTTGAAATCCTTTCATAGGCCTATGCTCAGACACAAAAATGTCAAATCTGAAGTGTCTTCTGCAACTTGCCCCTGTGTCTGGTCAGTTTCTGCGTATGGGAGAAAACTGTGGCTCGTATGGCTGACTGTCCAATGGAACAACTGAAAAATTGGAGGCCAAGTGTAACCAAACCGCTCTCACAAGAGGGTGGCAATTCATGGCAAATTATTGTGCTTAAAGTAGCCAGAGTCTGCAACACTTTTGGCTAGACATTTTGGCAGATATAGCGGATGGAAACATGGTAGCCCTTTAAAGGAGGAAATGTAGCTGAGAAGCCGCACGTGGAGGATGAAGAGGAGGACGAGGACAACAAGGCAAGGAGTACAATCTAGGATAGGGGAGAAGATTTGTTTTTGTAATCCATTGCGAACAATTCATACACTAAATAAGAAGTTATCAAGACCTAGAGCCTCAGACTTGAAAATTCGATGTATTGCTGTAGCTGGTGATGTCTCGGTGGTGCACACCTTGAAGTCCACTGGTGAAAAGTTTTCACAGAGATGACGACGTATTTCTGCTTAGCACTTAGTGCTACTTGGTGCCCGACTCCTCATTGGATGTCTTTATGAAGTTTCAACATAATCCTCTTTTTTTCTGTTTTCAAAAGGGGTTATAATAGGTATGTAGTATGTATCTGATTCCATTAGGGTTCAAAGTTCAAAGTTCAAACTCATGAACTGTCTATGGAAAGATAGATGTGCACAGCTTTCAGCCACATATGGTTGGATACAGTATCGTTAATTCTTTTGGCATGCGTGCTGAATGACTTGGGAATGGCTGTGCAGGTACGAGGTGCGGCAGAAGACAAAAAAGTGCTTCGAAGAAATTGACAAATTTATTCGAGCCAACTACCAGAATGAGTGTGGAATCATTTATTGCTTGTCAAGAAATGACTGTGAGAAAAGTGCTGAGATACTGAGGGTAAGCTAAAAGCCTAAAACTCGTCGGAGAGGGATGATTTCCGCTCATGTCACTTCATTTTTCTGATTTTCATTTGTGATCTGCACTGCTGGTCGTTGAAATGTGGCTCCTGATGCCATAACGTTTGCAATCACAAATGGTGGCCATTATCTCACCTTCTGCGGGAACTGCACAGTGAAGAGTAGATTTCAAGTCATGAAATGTCGAATGACTGAAATTCAACCCTCCCTTCGATGATTCTCTTTAGCTGTCATGCTCGAACCATTAGAGTGATGGCAAGCTGTCCTGATGTTATCCTGTGCTTTCCGTCCAGAGAGAAGCACACTAGAATGTGGGACACGATGGATCATGCAAAAAACGTTGCCTAAAAAATTAGAGTCAGGAATCATGAATGGGATAGGCTGTACGTAGAGACGTTGAGTGAATGTGGATTTTGAAGAAACTGCACTATCCTACCACAGAGAGGGGGAAGCAAGAGGAATCAGAGGTGTGAGATGCAATAGGTCATGGAAAGGTTGTGACAATGTTATAAGAGAAGAGCCATGAACTGTGCAGAGATAGCCTGACTAGAATCGGACGAAATGCCTGAAGAATGATGAGGAAACTTCGAAGAATCTCTGCTGTCTCATCAGAGACAGACACCACGGTTATGACCAAAATTACCAAACTGATCACGGCAAGGTTGTGACAAAGAGAGGGGAATCAGAAAACAAGTGGAGGCATTCAGCAAATGTCAAGGGAAATCGGAAGACACTCTGAGAGAAAAAGTGGAGAGGTATTAAATGAGGAGAAGCTTTAATTGAAATCATCATTTATCTCAGCTAAAGGATTCAAGAAAGACATGCGGGACTTTGGGGACTAGCCTGTCCTAGCAGGGCTTCCCCCAGGGGCCCAATACTTAATGGAGTGTACACTGGCACAGTCTTACTGACCAATTGCCGGTCGAGAGATGAATGATGATTCACTGTTTCCTGCGAACTTTTCAGGAGACTACCTTCTTCCCCCTAAGACAACGTACGTTCATTATAGCTGTATTTCGACTGAAAGATAGCCCAAGCACAGCTATAAGGATCGTATGTTCTATTCGGGGGAGTGTAGGCAATAGAAATCAACTCAAATCACTGAAGGACCTTTTTTTTTTTCGCCTTCTTTTATTTTCTGAAGAAAAGAAAGAAGGTACTTGATCAAGACTGGATGGTAAAACATAGCAATCTGCGTTTCTTCCTCGTCTTGTTCTATGTGGTGCAATGTAGAAAGTTGAGGTTGGTGTTGTTGAGCTAATTGTCGGCTGCAAGGGAAAGAAACAAAATTTTCTTTGCTTTTTTTTTCTTCTGTAAGAAGTGACTGGAAGCCTCAGGGCTCTTATGCATTCATGTTCGTAAACGGTAGAAAGAAGAACACTGGTCGTCCCTTACATAATGAGCCGGCAAACGCTTGGGTCCATCTGAGCTTTCTAGCCATGCAAAGAATGTTTAGTAGCCAGCTGGCGGCCTGAGTCAATGCTATTCAAGCTCATCGTAGGGTTTCCAGGGGTATTGATCAGCTGTTCTGCTCTGAACTTTTTTTTTCCGTTTTTTAAACTTTTTTTCTGAGTACGGATCCGGGCCACCCGGCCGACCGCCGCCTGCCCGGGGGAGGTCCCGGGCGGCCTGGCCGGGCGGGCGGCCCGGTTGGGGGCCGCCCCCCCCCAGCACACCTTCACGGCGGGGGGGTTTCGACCCCGAAACGGGTCCATTTGTTGTTGGCAGGGCCTACCGGGTCCGACCGCGCCAAGAAAACGGCGCGTCGGGCCCGTGAGGCCTGCTTTTTTTTTTTGAATTTTTGACGGCCCTCCGGCCGTCGATCATCCACGATCGACGGCCAGAGGGCCGTTAGTTTTTGGAGGGAAAAGCAAAGCCTCCTTTGAACATGCAATTGCCTGAGGCAGTCCGCATCGGCTTTCGAAACGGGGCCTGTCCTTCAGCCGCCTGCCTTCGTCATTGCGTCCGAAGTTCGTCGAAGCAGCTGGGAGTCCCATCGCCTGGGAGAGCCGTCGCCCGTAGCCCGTCGCCATCGCCTGGGAGAGCCGTCGCCCGTAGCCCGTCGCCATCGCCATCGTGTTCGCCGTGACCCGTCGCCCCCCGTCGTCCATCGTCGTGCTGCTCCCTGCCAGCATCCACTGCCGCCCGTCGACGAGGACTGCCGGTCTGATCTTCTTCTTCTTCTTCTTCTTCTTCTTCCCTCCTCCTCCTCCTCCT